AAGTGAAATTTAAATAGTAAGAAAAATTCCCACGTTTTACAAGCAGTGACCTGAGAGTATAGACTGATCAGTGAGTCGTTAGGGTAATAAATTTATTTCCGTATTACCAAACACCGAACACAACAGTAAATAATAGCTCATTGATTTAAAAAGTATTCTGGTCAAGCCTTGATCAATGACTTTCATAAAAATTCCAGCCTTAGTCCGCACCTTCAGTCCCAATATTTATCATAACTCTTAACTTATAAATCACCTCTAAACAGGAGCTGTGGGTATTCATTAATTTTATGTATACAAGCTGTTTATTCAAACATTATTTGTATTTGAATACAACAGTCCAAGGTGTTTTTATACTACACGAGGGTTGATTTTTCTGATTCATCGTAGAATAATCTGGAAAATTCTAAAAGAAAGTAACTTAAAGCCGCTAGGTTTTTTTTTTATGCATTGAATTTTAACGGGGTTGCTTGTGGTGTCTAAATGAAACTGAAACTAAGAAGCTCCGTGGCCGAAAACCTTTTACGTAGTTTCATACATTTACTAAGAGAACTGTACAGAGCCTAAAATATATGTTACCTTAAAACAATTTTGTAGTCTCACCACGTCGTTACAGTCCATGTCGCCATGTCCGATCATGCTCTATCTTACTGCCGTGCATCTGAACAATAGACATGCAATGTAGTTTCTATTGCACAAATCTCCACCGTAAGGCTGTCATGTCCAAAGCAGTCCCCGCTTTCCTGTTTGCTTTCCGTATACCATCTAGTGTAGGAGGACGACGGAAGACTAGGATAGCCCTTGTACTTAATGCCTTTAGAAAGCAAAGGGATGTGGATCAACTTGGGACACTGGAACTATCCAAAAAGAGATCTTCAAAACGTTCTATCCCAGTTGTGTTAAGCAAAGTGCGGAGTCTTGTAACAGATGAAAATCCACGAACACAAATATCAGTGGCAAAAACCGTACAAATGTGCCAGACAACAATATGTAACATAATCAGTTTACATGCACACAAGCTGTTTTTACGACATATCAGATCAACCATCGCATATCTCAAGCAGATGAAGAATGAAACTGGTATTCATGCTATTCCATACATAGACACATGTCGCCTACGGATTTCTGCACAATTAGACTGTTGAAACGGGCGCTAGGAAAGATAGAACGTTTTGAAGATCTCTTTTTGGATAGTTCCAGTGTCCCAAGTTGATCCACATTCCTTTGCTTTCTAAAGACATTAAGTACAAGGGCTATCCTAGTCTTGGAAATTCTATGTCTTCAATATGAACACATCTTTATGATTTGATTGTATAAATATTTTACGTTGAAATGGGTTATTACATAACCATCAATTTTCAGTAGAGTTACACTACTTACGTAACGCCAAACAACATCAAAATGTAGTCCTGATACATCCATTCCACCACATGTGGTTGTCACGTGAATTGCCGGTTTGCATAGTCAAAAAATTATCTTAATATAACTTACTCAACCCTATGTGAAGTGTCTTGATAAAAATTCAAAGTGACCTTTAAAATAATTACGATTGTGCAACAACCATTAATACTTTTTTTTTAGCAGTGCATGCCCTACTCAGCAATATTCACACCCATATGAACATATTGTGTAAATTAGTAAATTGCCCAGAAACGTACAAAACGTTGGAGGGGACTGTGGAGGGTGAATAAATACTGCGGGACAATCTACGAAATACACAAGGTGTATTATTCATTACTAACTTATTGTGTATCTGTGTAATGTGTATTATTCATTAGTAACTTATTACACAGATACACAATAAGTTACTAATGAATAATACACATTACACAGATACACAATAAATTACTAATGAATAATACACATTACACAGATACACAATAAGTTACTAATGAATAATACACATTACACAGATACACAATAAGTTAGTAATGAATAATACATATTACACAGATACACAATAAGTTACTAATGTTTACAATGTTCTAAGTAAGAAATTTTTTCTTCCATTTCGCCTGTAAAGTCAGTTGACTGCACAGAAAGAGACTAAATATAAGATTCTGTAAAGTCAGTCGACTGTAAAGAAAGAGACTAAATATAGGATTCTGTAAAGTCGGTCGACTGTACAGAAAGAGATTAAATATAGGATTCTGTAAAGTCAGTGACTGTACAGAAAGAGACTAAATATAATATTCTGTAAAGTCAGTCGACT